AAAGCAAGAAATTCTCTCGGGGAGGTAATCACTTTTTTGCAGCTTTTAATCTCTCTCGATACTCTCTCTTTCTCTTTCTTTTTCTCTCAGCATTACACTCAAAATTAAGCGGAAAAGCGATATATTCCCCGCGGTTTGAACACAACAACTAATTTGAATATTCAATCTAGGGAAAAGCTTGGGTAACCGATAGTTTCGAAAGTCGATACCTGGGAACTCGGTCGCCGCGCGAAAACTACGAGGAAACGTTCAATCAAGACTATACAACAGATGATGCTTTTACGTCGCGTATGTGCAAGAAGATAACGATCAACGTAGGTGAGACGTATAGACGTACGATCGCAAGGATATTAATTACGTGCACCAAATTGTGTTCGAGTTACTTCCAAATAAGCCATAAATTTAATATCGAATAACACGCGCGCTCTACCAGAGGGTTTTGATATTGGATATTAGAGTATCGAGAATATAATCAATTCTAATTTTGTGGGCGTATTATCTTATCATCATGATATCTAACCGCAAATTGAAAAATTTCTCTATTATCCCCCATGCTTCGTACGACGATACCAATGCTTACATATATTGCGTAAAAAGATTATTTTCATTACTTATAACTCTCTTAATTTTCCAGATTCTCTTCAAATAATGGCAGTAATTCTTTCCTCGTTTCAAATATTTCAAATGTATCTAAAGGATGTCATTTTATGTGTGGTGGTGTAATTACATTCGATGTTATTATCGTAATTATGAATTTCGTATAACAACAATAAGCTAGTAATAGCAATTTGCCATGAGTGCAAAATGGTAAAACAACAGCAATAATCGTTTTTTGAGTAAACATTCGAAACGATATATTATAGAAATGTATGTATATGTATTTATATATAAAAGCCTTACGTATAACATTTTGTAAATTAATGGAGAATTACTGCATTCGAAGAGAGCTTCCAATTAATGTGTGCATACATGTAACATTTCTATTAATGTATCATGCCGAGTATCTCAATAAAAAGATATAAATCGGAAAAAAAATATCTGCGGATGAAAATTAATGTATTCGCGGGTTTAAATTTTTAATTGAATATAAAATCACGTGGATTATTAAAGCAGCCTGTTTTTCCTCCAGATCGACTTTTTGCATCGCGCAAAAAGTTTACGTGTAAAATTTTCGTAGCGTGTGAATATAATCGGGACTCGTTCGATGTGACAAACGTTGAGCGTGACGTAGAGATCAGTACGCATAATCCTTTTAAAGTTTTCATTATAACACGAATAATGCGCAATTAACCCGTTATTTATTGTCATTTCGCATTAAGTCGCGAATAATGACAAACGTTTCTACATATTCGAATCTATAATGCAGAAATTCGTTCTGGGAAAGAGAAATTTCATTCCCTTCTCTTCCCAGAGAGAATAAATTCTAATCAAAATGAATAATTGATATTACAGGCATAAAATTATTTTTCTTTTCTTAAAAGAAAGTGACCAACACAATTTGTTTACAATTTTAATTATAATGTAAAAATCTATAGAAAAGAAAGTTATTATGATAACAAATTGCCTCTTCACAGATTTAGTTATTTAAATTTAACATTTAGTTATTTAAATTTAAGAAATCATTTATAAAAGCAAATATTTCCTGTGTGGATCTCGTAAAAATCAAATAGAAGATCACTCGCAACGTCTCGCATTAAAGCCCGATTCGCGCGAACTGTAATTATTGGATTCCCGAGTTGAATGCAAACGAGAAATTTACCAATTACAGTGAACAATCTTCGGAGATTGAAATCTACCAATCAGAACGATCACTCGCTTTTCCGTGTGACATTCCGACGATAATGTATCAACTGTTCGCGCGCCGAATTTTCCGTATCAGCGCCATCGACCGTATGATTGGCAATTTGATTTTGTCCAGAATAGTCCAATGTAAACACGGCAAAGAATCGTTTACACTTACACCATACGTGCGTCACTTGTTGTTTATGGGGCGCTAATTTTCACGGTACATACAGAATGTACCGAGATATCGTCGGTTTGCTTCATTATGTTCAATTATCACTTCTCGTCTTTAAACTCGCGCCGCAAAATTTATGATTATAATAACGACGTTATTTTGTAGAAGTCTGTTTTTTTTTTTTTTTCGCAATATGTCATTTTTGCGCAAGATCCTTCCGACGTAGTCGACGGTAGCTTGCTAAATAACCAAAAACGTCAAAACCAGTTCCGCGACCTACTTGAGATAACTCGATGAACTTGGATGTGGGCCACGAATATTAATGATCGAGGACATCATACGGTATATTACGAGTCTGGATCTAATTCCTTCTTCCAACCCGACCGGATTTATGTAATTCGGTTGACGAATGCCAGCGAATACAGATCAATACGCGACTAGTTTTCCTTTTCAGAAAGGATTACATTAAATTACGTTGATTACATTAAAGACCGGAAGCAATATAACCACATATTTTTATTCCACTGAGAAATACGGATTAGAAATATCATAGAACTAGCGAGACAAGTGCCGAAACAGACAAGCATAAAAGATAAGTCATTAATAATCTTCCCCTGTAATTTTTTTCTCCTAATAAACTTGATGTAATCTCTGATCCTATTATTGTAAGTCCGAATAGAGAAAAAGCGGGAAAAGGAGTCTATAAATGCGCGACGATCAATGTCGAACCGGAATCGATATGGTTGTAAAGCCAACCTTTTAGAATCCGCGACACGACAATTGACAGCGGATGCGACAGCTGCCATTTCCAGGCATACGTCGAAAGGAAAGTAGCGGGCTGACGGTGACTCGATAGACATGAATGGATAAGCGACCATTCGTGCCGACACGAAGACAAGAGAGCGAAGCAGAGAAAAAAATCATCGCAAATATATATATATATATATTATATGCGCGCGCGCATACATTAATTAGAAAAACACTAATTTTGATTTATGTAAATGCAAATACAAACTAAACGATGATTTAAATAATTAAATTACACACCATGTATTATATATCTAAATAGGATATCTAAAAAGTATAAAAATAAGGCAAATAGAAAGAAAATCAAGAGAGACAGTGAAATACTTTGTAGCAAAGCTACAGTACCTTAGTGCCATTTTGCAATCAAAATCCGTGGAAGTCGATAATCAATAAATCGGAAAAGAGATGACGCCGCAAAGAGAAATAAGCGGACGCGTAAAGCGGAAACAAAATAACGACATTAGTGATTATTCATGTAATTTCCAAATAATATTTAACGTTTATTTTCTTATAATCCATTACCGTACAATTTATCGTGATTCTTGATCACACATTATCCCTACAAACATTTAATTTACGCAAACGATCTCTAGCCGAGATGCTACAGCCGTTACTGAAACGAAGTAAATTTTCTTTCAAAATAAGTTACAAAAATTGTATATATCCTCCTTGTAAAAAGATAATTAATTATCGATAAAACGAATGAATGAACGACTTTGCTGTCGACGGAATAAACGCTGATCGCATCGCATAACCCGTAAGTTCAAACGATACAAACTAACCGTTTATAAAGCTGAGCTTGCAGGGCACACACATATCTCTGGATAAATACGCGGGAGACGAGAAGATAGCGATTTCGCTTTAGCGCTCGTAATGCAGCAACTTCCGGAAGGCCATGGATTTGAGATGGAGTGGCGGCGCTGAAAA